AGTTAGCCTTTGGATTTCATAGTCAGATATTGTAAATAAACAGTATAATAGGCTATAACTTATTATTATCTATGTGATAAGCACATTATTCATAAAGTTTATAGAATAAAATGATAAAGAATTACTATTAAAATAATTTACAAAGTAATAAAGTGATGAATACTATATATAGCTTTAAATTTCATATAAATAGTAAGCTATTATAATATCTGAGTTATTATTATTTACATTGCAACATAGAAAAAATGGAGAAATCGTATCTGCTGAGTATATATGCTACGGCCCACATAACCCTAGTAAGGTAGACCCAGAACACATACGGTTACATCACGTGATACTGTGACTGAGTGTGACGTTGCTGGCAGAGCGCGGCATCTGAGACCCGATATGTACATGACAGCCAGTATTTATATATATAAACTAGTATGTATAGGGAAACAGAGTTATCGTAAGCAGTATTAAGTATGGGGAACATGCAAAGAATAAATAGAAATAAAGATATACACATGAAGAGGAAGAAGGCTTGCCTTGCCTGATGAGAAGCTTGCCATATTAAGGCATGACCCCTGCAAAATTGAGCTCTTCGAGAATGTTGTCAGGAAGCACACAGTGGTCTTTATACTTTTTGGCAGCCCACATAGCCTGTTTTCCAGTGAGACCCTTGTGATAGGCATCTATAAACCTGCATGTCTGGGTAACAAAGCTGCAAAATAGTCAGCAGCAGATAAGTTGGTGAAATGTACCAGTAATTTGACTCACCGGCAAATACTCATCAGAGATACTGATGTGAGTGCTGCAATGACGTTGGCCTCTATATCAACCTCCAAAGACGACAGTGGAAATTCCCGATATTTTGTCTTTGCATAGTCCCAGCATTGCTCAATTAAATTGAGCTCACAATGGAACTTGGAGAGAAAGATCACTTTGAAGCCATTTTCGCGGCAGTGCACTTCAAGCAGGCTCTCAACATCATGAAAATCTGGCTGGTTATAAAGGATCTGACAGCAGCAGCAAGAGAGTGCCCGTGGAGCACACTTGAAGCTGGGACACTCCCTCCTCAGCTCTGTAGTGTCAATTCCATGCTCCTTCAAGATCTCAACCATGCCTTTGAAGACCCCAGCCCGCGGATGACTCTTGGGAAGTAGAGAGACTGTGGAGTTCCGTCCGCAAACCTCCTGTCAGCTATGTGCACGTGCTTTTTCAGTTGCTTCCCTCTTGGGCTGAGTTTCACTCTGCCTGTCGCTTCATTGATGTCAGAAACATTGATGCTCCAGATACGATTTCTCTTCTTTGTGGGACTCATTGACATGTGTGTTGCAAAGAGGGCATTGTTGGCATGTTTGCGGTGAGTGGTTGCATTATCAAAGACAAAGATATGTTGATCACAGGAGTTGTGCTTTTGTAGGATTTTCATTGCATGTGTGACCTGCTTGATGATGTTCTCGTGAGTGAAGTAGCCGTCTTTGTCTTTTCCTGCTCTGAAAAGAACCTGTGCAGATTTCTTGCCATCTGGAGAGCGAAGCCAGCCGTAATCACCAGAGATGAAATCAGAGACTATCAAGAAAGCCCCTTCACCCTTCTTGTGTGGCACTGGGTCTTTCATGTTGTGAACCCAGCAGACCAGCTTTCAGTCATGTGTGTAGAATGTGGACTCATCATGATATCATACAACCATGCGTTGGGTGTAACTGCTGACATCTTCTGGGAGTTCAATCTCTTTCCCATCAAAAGTTCATGCGCAGATGCTGAAGTTGTATTCCACCATTGCCGGTAGAAAAGTGTCGCGCTGTTGTAAAGAAAAGGTTAGGATAAGAAAATAAGAAAATAAAATGAGGTTTAGTATAAAGAAGATTCTAGGAGAATTCTATAAAGTTACTTCTTGATAAAAGGGAATAGAGTTTGGTCTGTTCTAAACTAAAAGCAAGAAGGGTATAGTTTGGACTATTTAGATTTGGTTTTCCCAATCTTTTCTTTCTAGGGTTTACTGGGTTAGCCTTTCAACCAAGCTATCCTGGTGTTCGTGGGAGACTAATTTGAAGACCACCTACTAATCTGCTTGAATACTCTAAAGCCTTACTTGCCTGTTAACAAGGGACTTTTAAGGAATCTTAGAAGATGGGCTGTAAAAAGATTTGGTTAGTAGCTTAAGAACTAGCTACTTGGGTTAATAGAATAGGGTTTTTAGATAAGTAAGATAAGAGAGTAACAAAGACAAGTTAACGTTTTAGTTAACTTAGTAAGCTTTGGCTAGTAAGGACAATTTAATGTTCTTAGAGAATTTATATAACTTGAATAGATTTAATCTCTTTACTGCTAGTCTAATTACTGTAAGCTTTACAGAAGACGTACCACAGTCTCAAATAATGATGCCACTAGCTCTCGCAGTCTAGGTTAGTCAAATAGTGAACTCGTGCACTATACCAAAGGCGTTTCCCTTCAGGTTATTTGAAAGTCAGAGGCTCTACTGTGCTTAAGGAATTTCCTAGGCTTTAAAGAAAGGAGTCTATTCTCTGAGAGCTAAAGAGCTTAGGGGATCAACTGCAGGTTTGCTGCTAGCTGAATCCTTGAGTGTGTGTGATGCTCGGTGGGTTTTTTTTCTTCGCTTTCAGAGAACCTCTCCTATTTATACCTTTCAGCCTGTTGTTTCTTAGCTAATAGCAAAACTGGCTCTTCTATTCTACTGTAATTACTAAGCTACTTCTACTTTTATTAATAAGCATTTGTCTATATTAGTCAGCCTTCTGTCTATTTTACTAATGTATTAGTAAGCTA